TGTGGTATACCGCGAAATACCTTTTTCCTGATAGTTATATCGTACATCTTGCAGCTTATCCATCTGTTCCTTAGCATGTGGTTGATCCAGTTACGGAGCACCCGGTCAACATAAAACTGGTCTAGGGATTGGATAAGAGTATCAGTGTGCACGTTATTGAAGGCGCCTTCGATGTCAATGCATACCTCCAGTGTATTTATTTTGCTATCAAAGGATGCACCTATGTGGTGTACAACTTCGTTTAAAGCGGTTTCCACCGAAACCAGTACGGAAACCAGTCCCGCCTCCATCTGTATGAGTATAGAGGTACTTTTCCATTTTTTTCGAATATTGTACATGTATGGATCTGAAGTGCACAACAAAATAGTGATAAAGACTTCATTAGTGTGAAATCTATATTGTTTCTCGTACTGTCGACTTTAGCGGTTGTAATTTCCAGGCATACATATCGTCACCTAAAACGCAAACGGCCCTATCTAACATTTTTAAAATTTTACAGGAGAACCAAAAAACTATTTAAATTACAAAGTTTGTTTCTATCAACTCGATTTATTTGTAGTAAATAAACAAATTGTTTAATAGTGAAACCTATCAGTTATGATAGTTGACAATGGCGTATATAAAAATGGATAAATTGGACTTTCTACCTTTAATATTTAAATGTTTTTGTAGATAGGGCCTTTTGTTTTTTGTTAATAAAATCGCTAATTTTGGTCGGAGGAGTCCAATTTTTTGTGTGGACATTTGTTTTGATGCAATACATTATAATCAACAATAAAATCGATTTTGAATTTTTGGTTAGTTAGGGCCGTTTACGTTTCAGGTGACGATATATATTTTTATATTTAATTTTAAGGAGAAGCTGCCCTACCTTGCTAGTTTATTTACATAGCTACTAGGGTGGTCGATTATTCGACATTTTCCAAAAACCGGTTTTCGAACAGCTCCAGTTTTCGAAAACCGGCATTTTACTTTAAAATTGAATTTAAGTATCCGTTGAATGCAAATCAAAAATAAACATTTATATGGATATCAATGTTCATCATGCAAAATTTAAGGTTTGTAGAGGTTATAATTTTCCAGATATACAATAAGTAGTGTATGGTTTCTTCTAAACTTATAGGAGACAATAAATAAAAATACAAACGAACACACACACATTTCAAAAGTTTTATTAATGAATTTCTCACAAAATAACAGACTTTGGTTCAGAAAATTGCTCTGGTGCACACCGGCGGATATATATAATGGGGTATACACGCGTAGGAGAGGCTTCGGGCGACAGCACAGTGTATGACTTGCTGTGATAGTTCATGTTTGATCACTCTGTTCGCTGTGATAAAGTTGAAATACAGTTGTAATTTTTTACTTTTACTGACCATAAAAGAATTATTTTAGGCCGCCATTTCGAAAAATGCGCTTGCCTTCTCGTTTCTGTTAGGCTGATAGTAGGCTTACTTAAAATGGCCTATTAAACGGTTTTCTGCTGTAGGCCTATTAGAAGGTCTTTCGCTGAAGGCTTATAACGTAATGTATATAAGATGGTCTTCAGTTAAAGTCATATTAGAAGATCTTCAGTCAAAGGATTTGTAGAAAGTTATAATCATTTAAAAATTAAAAATTTACTAAGAAAATTTAAAATTAAGCAAAATGCTGTGATAGTTCATGTTTGATCACTCTGTTCGCTGTAATAAAGTTGAAATTAAGTTGTAATTTTTTGGCTCCCGAGGTTTACGACTGTTTACTTTTAACTTTAAAATCGGTGACCATAAAAAAGTTATTTTTGACCGCCATTTCGAAAAATGGTCCACAGTGCGGCGTGTCATTGTCAGTCCAGTGATTGCCTTCTCGCTTCTGTTAGGCTGATAGAAGGCTTACATAAGCTGAAAATACGTGCTCTTTTTTAGAGGACAATCATCTATTTTAACTGGTTGTCATCTTTAAAATTAATGTCCTCTTTCTGTCATCTATTTCCATAATTTGTCATCTTTTGTCATCTTAATTTTTAAAACCTTGATCAATATTTATTTTTGTAAATTAAAACAAATTTTATTAATTCATAAAACTCAAATAGCTTAAAATACCTTCATTAAACCATTGACAAATATAATATTTTTAATGTAGTCTAACCCAACATTAGGCCAAAAATAAGTTTATCTAAAAATCAAAAATTTGTAATTTTATCGTTTACAAATTTTACAAGGAATATTTGACAATATTCCAATTGGCCAGCACTATTTTTAGGCAATTTGGAAATGCCTCTCTGTCAACCAAATGATGGCCAAAATCATTCTATTTTGCTTTTTTATAATGTATATGTATGTTAAATATAATGCAATATTTGATATATGTATATAATAATTGCAATAATTTATAAAAATTGCAATAAAAATAAGAAAAAAATTAATTATGTTACCAACTTTGTAAATAAATAAATAAGAAAATGTGCAATAGTGATGTTCATTTTATCACAAAATATTCGTCCTTCGGATACTTTTAATAATAATTTAAAGTTGTTATACATATGTACAAGATTTAAAAAAAGATATATCTTTTAACGTAAAAATCTTTAATTAAAGGAATATTGTGATTATTTTCAAAATACATAGAGAACTGGAATTGGTTGTCAACAAAATTACTCGAAAATGTTCAGAAGTTTTCACATGGGAATTAAATACGTAATTTTCCCATTTTAATAAGAAAACAAATCATTCATCTAACTTTAATAAATTTCCTTCTTTGGTTTGTTCTTTAAATTTGATTTGTTTATATTTTAACAAAACAAATGCATAAAAATGAGAATAATCCTTTTCTGTAAAATATGTAAAAAAAATTTAACTCAAAAAATAGTTTTACTCTTTTCTTTATGTCATCTATTTTCATATCCAAAATCTGGTCGCCTTAGCTTACTTAAAAAGTCTATTAAGCGGTTTTCCGTTGTATGCCTATGGTATTTTGCTGATGGCTTATAAGAAGACCTATAACGTAATGTACATAAGATGGTCTTCCGTTAAAGTCATATTAGAAGATCTTCAGTCAAAGGCTTTGTAGAAAGTCACTATAGGAAATTATAATAAAAATAATAAAAGTTTTAGAGACTTATTCATAAGAAATTATCAAAGTTTTATAAAACAAATTTTCATACAAAATTTGATATATACACACAACTTTGATAAATTCTTATCAATAAGCCCCTAAGAATTTTAAATATAGCTACTTATGCAGACATTCTACAAAGCCTAGGGAAGCATGGGCTGTTAAGGAAGATGTTATTAATAAATTCAACATTAAACTTAAGGAATTGTCATTAAAGAGTCACATGTGAATTTTTAATTACAAAAGACTACTTTACGTGAACTTTACAGCATAAAGTTTAGCAAAAGACTAAGTTTTATTTGGAATGTAAAAAATACATTTTTCAGTTTTCAGGTAGCGGTTTATAAAAAAGAGAGCAAAATAAATTTTATTGGTGCTGGTCTACACAGGGAAACATTTGATTATGTGTGTGAGAGAAAGAGAAAGAAATATCATTCATTTCTCTCTGGAATATCTTCTACGAGAAGGCAATGAGGAATGAGTATCCCATCCTTTATAATGTGTAAATATGTCTCTTAGAAGGCCTAAAAATCGAAGTCCTAGCCTTTTTTGCAGCTGGGGAGTTTTATGAAAAAATTAAATTTTAAATTTGTTTTAATTTTCAATACAAATAACAATGAATATAAAGAAATTGGCGCTTGTCAGTTGGTACCTAAAGGAGTTATCATTCGGTACCTAACTCTAAGAATGTATTGATAGAATTTTTGTATAAGTATTGAAGCTCCAACCACTTTCACCACTCTTTCCAAACATATGTTCAATTCACAATCGATGTTGTAGCGTTGTATTTCAGCAGCTGCTACAATAGTCATAACAATGTTGTTGGTATTTTCTATGCAAAAGCTCTATACAACTCATACGACAATTTTTCATATGTTTTTCGAATGTTGTAAGAAAGTTTAGTGTTGCCAATTGTTTATTTCAACATATAAACAAAAAATTCAAACGATTTTAGCATAAAAAACGATAAAGTGGTAACACTGAAATCAAAAACAAACAGCTGTTTACCAAAACAAAAAAACTTAAATTTTATTAAAAACTGTTTATTTATTAGTTTAAAATGTGGAATAAAGAAAATAAAAGAATTGAAAATTCAAAGAAATTAATTTGGTTTACTTCGCATGTTTAATTAATTTAATATTTTTGACTTTTTTATCTTTTGACATTGTTATGTATATTTGTTTTGATTGTTTTTTTTTTTCATTGAGAACATAGACTTATGACTTGCTGCAAATATCTGTTCACAATCACTGTTACTACACGTTAGTAGGTACAATATACAACTTGATTGTAAATTGAACAATACATACTTGCATAAAATCGTACATAAAATTTTTAGGAAAAATAAATAACATTTCAATTTCTATATTCGCACATTTTTCAATTTATTTTGTCCACATCTGATCAGTAAACATTTAATAAATGTATTTTACGGACTTTAAATCTCTTTTTTGGAAAAAAATAAGTTCATTTTCATTTTCAATACCAAAATTTACAACTTTGTTTTACCAATTTTAATTTCAACACACAAAAATTAATTGTCAAAAAAAATTTAAAAATATTTTTTTAGTTTGTGAAAAATAAAACATTTCGGGTTTTTAATTGCGATAAAATTGTGTAAAAAATAAAAGAAACTATTATCCCGGTATTTTGGCGAAAAAGTTTTGAAGCATTGTGAGAGAATTGAGTTCTAACAAGTGTGTTGAATTTACACAGAACTCGTCTGTGAAGAGAGGGAAATGTTATTGTTGTAAAACAGTACCGCAGTCCAACTTCTTTATATTCCTTGATCAATAATTTAAACTTCGTAAATTAAAATTCACATATGTGAGAGTCGGACTACTTATTATACATTTTTTACAGAATATGTTAAATAATAAATTTTTAAATAATAGTTATTTTACCTTGGACAATGAGAGATCCCAATGCTGCTGCTTCGCCAATAGAACAATAAAGCCGGCCATGACGTAAATCTCTTTTTAATTGCTGATACAGCATTATTCGGCCATTGCCTGTTAATCGAAATGGATCTGCAGGGTAAAACTTCACACGAAAGGAGAATAGTATTGGATCCACGTCTAAAACATAGATTTTTTAATTATTAAAATTTAAATAAATTTACATATTGAAAAAAGTATTCATCAACTCTAAATAAATTCTATTTAGCTTTATATTTTAAATAGTTTAGCGAACTACTTTTCTGGTTCCAGGCTAAAAATGTGGTCAAAAAATGTTTTTATGGCATTCTAAATCTGTTTTGATTAAAATTTAAGTATAGTGATAAAATATGCTGATTTACGTAGGTAAGAAATTTAACGTTTTAGAGAAATTTAAGCTTTTAAATAATTGTTTTAAATCTGTATAGGGGCAATTCAAAAATGTTCGAACAGTTTTTGTACCTTGCCCTTTCCTATTTTGAATACACTTAGTACGATTATTCGACATTTTCCAAAAACCGGTTTTCAAATATTTCGCTTAGTTTACATTTGAAAAAAAACGGTTGACAGTTTTAAATTTCAGAAAAAACCGCTTAACCGGTTTTTCGTTATAAATAACAAAATCCGTCTATATGTATATTTTAAAAATTATTTATTTTTCATTAAAAATTTGTTGAATTTTACCTTAATTCTGATGTATTTAAGCAATTTATTGATGAACAACTAAATTTCTAAAAGAGGCTTTATAAGGGAGCTAGTTTCAAATATGGGCCGATCCTCAAAAAATTAGGAAGAGGGATGTAATTTTATATAAAGGTTAGTTATGCAGAATTTCAAAGCAATTCTAATGGTTATAAGCAAGGCAAGGATTTTCATGCAATAAAATATGAAAAATATGCGCATATAACATGCACTACAAAATGGGATAATATGCACTAGGTAGGTAGGTTGATAGGAGGATGTATACTACATCAAATCCGAAGAAATACACCTAGGCCACTATCGGGCCTGTTGTGCGCTCCTTATCATGAAAAAAATAATTCCTAAGAATCTTCCAATCAGTGTTAGTCAGGAATGTGATGATGTGAACCTTACCTCTGGGAGAGTATTCAGTTAAAGTTTTCTTACAATCCAATACGGTCTTAGATTTAGTTCTATCGCCTAATATCGCCCTAATTGCCTTCTGGCTATCGGTAAATATATTAAGCGCTGTGGGCGCCATATTTATTCTAATCCAATTTTCGCATTCCGATTTGATTTGGTAAACGGAGGTATATTTCGGTTTCTGGGTCTTCAATATAGAACCCCCCAATTTAGAGCCATCCGTGTAACAACGGATTCCTAATGGTATTTGCTCTAATGTTCCGCTTGGCCAAGACATTCTATCTGGGATCAGCGTTTCAAAGTTTCTGACATATTCTGTGTCTGGTATACGATCAGGTACGTCCGATGATTGTGTATAACCTTCCATGCATGCTGCTTAAATTTTAGGTCTTTGTCGAGCATACTGCCTTTAATTATATTATCGACTATCCGTTCCAAGGTTTTAAGTAGGAATGACGTAAGACTTATCGGTCGATAAGACTTAGGTGTCGAATAGCTAGGTTTCCCTGGTTTAGGTATAAATATTACCCTTGCATTCTGCCATTTAATGGGGGTATATGTGAATTTCAAGCATGTAGTAAATATCTGAGACAGATGTACGGAAACCAGTCCCGCCTCCATCTGTAAGAGTGCCGGGAAAATGCCATCCAGCCTTGTACTACCCCAAGCTACATGTGGGAGTTGGCATTACAACTTATTACAATTTTCTTATTTTTCCTTTGTGCCTCTTCAACCAGTTTCATCAGCTCCGACGTTGGTGGTAGTGTCGGAGAATCGAAAGGCAGGTAAACAGATGCAAGGAATATGTTGCCACGACCTTGCTTCAGCACCGTTGCATCCGATGTTGATAATCCCGTTGAGAGGAGAAAACATAAGTTCTTGTGACATAAGATACATGTTCTCGGTCGAGACCCTGTATCAGCGTAAAAAAATTGGAAATTTACGTGATTTAATCCAGAAACCTTGTTGCGAATCGTCCAAGGTTCCTGAATTAAAGCCAACCTGTGTTAATTTTAGCCATCAGAGCGCACAGTGGGGCAGAATCGATATGATAACGTATCATATCAGCTAAGCTTAACAATAATTGATGGAAAGGTCAGCAATGCCATAACAGAAACTTCTTCCTTCTGGAGATGCTCAATATGTAATGAGAAAAATTCGCAATTCTCAAATATAAACAAAAGCAGAAGTATTAATGAAAAGTCCTGTCTTTCGGAATTTCACCACTTCATGCCAGAATACGATTTTTGGATTACTTTTTACACATAGCATACGACCTCAAATATAGAAGTGTGCCAGAGAATCTTACTAAATCAACAAAAAATAATGAAGAATTGAAAGAACTGAGAGGTGCGGAAAAATGCAGAATCCAAGAAGAATTTAAAGTTCAGATGGGATTAAACATCGACAAACCACTTCCAAGTTGCGGTAGTACAAATGACGATAATACGGCGAGAAGGTTTTTTCGTGATTTTGAAATTACTTCAAAAATAACTGCAATCGACAAGGAGTTGCTTCGAAGAGTTAACACTATTTTAATGGCACTGAATAGTAAACATAAAATTAATGGAAATCGATTTGGGGAATATACATCTGAAATTTCTAAATTACTTGTATCTCTGTATCCATGGAGGGAACTATCACCAATAGTACACAAAGAATTATGTCATGGTCAAATAATAATTGAATCGAATATTCTTCCACTTGGAGAGTTAACAGAAGAAGCCCAGGAAGCGAGGAATCGAGATTTTAAGCATGTTCAACTATTCAGCTCAAGAAAATGCTCCAGGCAATCACAGAATGAAGATATTTTTAATAGTTTACTTCTACCTTCTGATCCTGTTCTTTCAACTATGCGAAAAAGATGGATTTGTTATGAAACTCTATCATCTCAAAACAAGGAAGATTTAAAGGACTTATATTATTATTATATTATTATATTATTTTATAGAAAATAAGTAGTGTTAGGAATTAACTATATAAGTAGGTTGTAAGAATTAATTGTATTATGTTTAAGATAAACAGTTCAAATAAAAAAAGCTATTATACTAACTGATGATATTGTATTAAATTGTGTTTTATATTTCGGTGGGCGGGAAAGGTGGTTTGTGTGGGGTGATTTAGGTGTTGTTGTGCATGGCTCATAATAAAATTATAATTTTTTTTTTCAATGTTATAGTCTTTAATAAAATAATTAACTAAATAATTTTTAAAAATTGTCCAAATATTTTATTCAACACCAAATGTATGTTCTGTCATACTTAATACTAAAATATGAAAAAGATGAAGTTAAAGGACACAGGTTTAAATGAACATATTTTTGAATGTAATTGAGATATTGGCTTGAAATTTTTTGTTAAGGGTCGAGAATTTCCATATCTAACTAAAAAATTATATTAAGGGATAAATATGGACTAAATTAGTAGCTATCTGCGACCCTATTAAAATTTTTATATAAATCATAGTTTTAGAAATTTAACAAATATGTAATATATGACAAAATCTTTATTTATGAACAAAACTCAATGAAATTTTCAACGCTTGTTAAAAAAATGCAAAGGTCAAAGGGCATCCCGCAATTCCCAAAAATAGGAATGAAAATCCTAAAAATGGGATTTTTTACATTTTTGCCCATAGGGTCCACATTTCTTTCAGAACTGGGAAAATACTTTTGGAGTAAATAGAAAACATATTGAGGTTTCCAAAACTGCTTTCAGCATTGGGATTTTATAACATGTCGCCCAAAGTTGAAGTTTTGATAAAAAATAGGTCATATTCGAAAGGAGGCAGTGGCAACATTTTCAAAAAATAGGACAAGTTTTTTAAGCCAAAGCGTTCTGCGTAAAGATACCTTTTAAAAAACTATAAAATTGTTATATGTTCTTAAAGAAAATTTTATTTTATTAATAAAAGAGTTAAGACACATTTTTGGCAAAAAAAAACGGAAAAAATCTAAAATTTTTTGAATTTTTAAATTAAAAAACGTATATTTTTGGATCTGTAAATGATATTGATCTGAATTTTTTTGTATATTATTGGAAATTTTGTTGTCTAACTAACAAGATTGAGTCCATTTGGTCCAAAATTACGCCCGGTATTCAAAAAAAGGCGGACCAAGGTATGGTAAATTTTGTATCACTAAATTTTTAAATGCCTATAACTCGGATATTATAAGAGGTAAGTATGTTTTTTCAAGATCTCGTCGAGCGCTTTCAGAAAATATAAAAATCTTTGTATTTGGGTGATAAACAAAAAAATGGCACGAGTTTAAAAATTTTACATGTCGTACGTACCCTACTTTGAGCCGCCACAGCGCCGTCCCTGGGGCATCTGCAGGGTTCATCTTCAAAACTTAAACTCGAATACTTCTTGGCTACGCTCACGCCAAATTTTATCCCGATCGGATCAGCCGTTTAGAAATGCCAGATTTATTTCCAAAAAATTTCGATTCTGCCCCACTGCCAGCGTTGGTAGCTGTCTCGCTCCGATGGAGGTTTATTTGGATAACCTCAATCATTGTCATCCATTTAAACTGTCTTCCAACGAGTTAGTGATCACATCCCCGCTTATTGGATTTGACTCCTCCGGGTAAACTGAAGTGGCTATTGATGCAGTATGTACCTTTGATGGCACTGCGATGTCCTTATCAGTCATAGCAAGAGCAGTCTTTTTAATCGACACTTTCCCAATTTTGGACAGCACTGCTGTTCTGTCTTCTGGCGAGTCAGTGATCTCCTCATCGCTTTTAGGATTTGACTCCTCAAAATTACTAGTACTTGCTAATGATGCTTTGGGTACCGTCTTAGGTGTTTTAGTGTCCTTATTGGGGCCGGTTTTGACATCCCTTTCAATCGGCGCCTCCCCAATTTTGGAAAGGGCAGCTGTTAGTAGTAGCTTCTTCGCTTTTAGGATTTGACTCCTTAACGTTATCAGTAGTTGCTACTGATGCTGTGGTCTTAGGTATTTTAGTGTCCTTTTCGAGGCTTGTTGTAACAGCCCTTGCAATCGGCACCTTCCCAATTTTTAATATGACAGCT